AAGGTTCCGAGAGCCCATATACTTGGAGGTTCAGGGTACTTACAACCCCAATTATAACTGTACTTATAAGCCCCTAAGTCCTCTAAGTAGGTTATGAGTAGACTTATAGTTGGGGTTATAAGTACCCATGAACCTCAAAGTAAGTACACAAGGCTGTGGTCCCCGGCAAGTCTTGGGGCCAAGCCAAGCCGGGGCACGCGTGAGGCTCACAGGGCTGTCCTTCCTCCTGGCTTGCCAAACAAGATGGGTTTGGCACCCTCGACTTTAAACCCTAAGCCCTAAGCCCTAAGCCCTAAACCCTAAACCCTAAGCCCTAAACCCTAAACCCTAAACCCTAAACCCTAAACCCTAGCAAGTGAACTGAGGGTGCAGTGCTTAGGGCTTAGGTTTCAAGATCACAAATGCCCCTGAACCTGTCTTCCCATCCTAAATCCTGCCCTTACAAAACATGCACACAGTGCATGCACACAATGCATGGATGCGTACATACTGCATACATGCATGCATGCATGCATGCATGCATGCATGCATGCATACGTGCATTCATACGTACATACGTACATGCATACGTACGTACATACATACATTAGGTATCAACGGTCCTTAATTGGATTCCCCCAATCAAAACTGTATTTGTGAGCCCCCTAAGTTCCCTCAGTCCCCTAAGCAGGTTACAGGTAGACATATAGTTGGCGTTATAAGTACTGTATAAACTTTAGGACCTTGCACAGGCCTTGTAACCCTACGTAGCCCCAACATAACCACTCTAGAGCCCCTCTAGAGTCCCTTATAACGGTACCTCCTTTGGCCCCCTCAAAACCTGAGTTTCACGTTTAGGGTTTAGGGCTTCGGGTTTGGGGTTTGGGGTTTCAGGCTAGGGTTTCGGGTTTCGGGTTTCGGGTTTCGGGGTTTCGGGTTTTGGGCCCGAAAGGCCATGTCCTGCCTTCAGCTTCGTGTGCCGGCGCATGTGAGGGAAGGATTCTTTGGCCCGTAGAGCCAGTAGACCTGAGGCTTTCTTCCCCACTATTTTGAACACCTCACCCCCCCCCCCCCCCTTTTATTGCAGAATGCCCATGCAGTCGGTTGGAACATGTGATACGTTTGTGTGTTTGGGGGGTGGGAGGGGGGGGGTGATTAAAAGTTGGGAAGAGAACCGACTGTTTCAGTAAACCCTCTCTCTCTCTCTCTCGCAGACTCGGGAATCCATTTTCAGTAAACCCTACATCCCCTTAAACCTTAATCCCTTCAAGACTTCAGGATCCCTCCTACCGTATCTACATGGATAGTCACAGGAATCGATTTAGGCAACTATAGTCTGGCGCATGCCAAACCGCCGAAGCTGCAAATTTGTAGGTTGCCTTCCCAAAAAAGCGGTCTAAATCGGGCAGTGCCCCCACGAGCACCGGACACCCTAAACATCCTAAACTGAGACCCTAAACCCTAAACCCTAAACCCTAAACCCTAAACCCTAAACCCTAAACCCTAAAGAAGCCCAAAGCCTCAAGCCAAGGAGGCCAAAGACCAAAGCCCTAACGAAAAAAAGGCACTGAAACCCTCTAAATATGCCCGAAATTGTTGAGGGGCTTCTCTGAGGTTTAGGGTTTAGGGTTTAGGGTTTAGGGTTTAGGGTTTAGGGTTCAGGGTTTAGGGGCTTCTCTAAATACGCCCTAAAACCTCTTTTAAGGGGGAGGGGGGGGGTGCCGATGTAATGTGGAGACTTGGGGACCATAACAGCGTTCCCACCTAAACCGGGCCCAAGCCCGCAGAAAGCCCAGAACCAGATTCGATCTAGACTCTACAGGGTGGGGCCCCCTTACTATGCTAACTGTAGTTAAGGGACTTATAACCTAACTTAGGGTCCTTATAACCCAATTTAGGGCCCTTATAACTCTACCTATAACTAGGGGGCCCCACCCTGTAAACCTTACATCCCACTTGGAAGTTCATGGGTACTTCGAAGTAGTGTTATAAGTGGGGTACGTATGGTCATAACCTTATTTGTGGTACTGATAAGCCCTCTTAGAAGTACCCCCGAACCCCAAACTCACTAAACCCCGAGACCCCGCACCCTGAGCCCTAACCCCTTCGCTTTTGTCTTTCTCTGCATTCGCCGGCTGATCGTCGGCCTGGCCATCTGTCAAGAGCCGAACGGCCTCAGAATGACCATGCTGTTTGGCCTCCATGAGAGGTGAGGTGCCCATGAAATTGCCTCGCAGAAGGACGGAAGGGTTTAGGGTTTAGGGTTTAGGGTTTAGGGTTTCGGGTTTAGGGTTTAGGGTTTAGGGTTTAGGGGTAGGGCTCCCCCACAAGGTCCCCCACTTGGAAGTCCAACTCCCCCTGAGAGGTTTAGGGCTTAGGGTTTAGGGCCTGGGTTTAGGGTTTAGGGTTTCGGGTTTAGGGTTTAGGGCTAGGGTTTTCTGCCACCCGGCTTGCTGACACTCAGGCCACATTGCAGGGGCTTGGGGTTTAGGGTTTAGGGTTTAGGGGGCAGCGAGGTGACGACAGCTTCCGGTCGTGTCAAGCTCACGTGGCTGACTGCTCTGTGCTCTGGATACAAATAGACATTTACATATACGTGTTTGAGGGGGGCAAGCAGCGTCGGTCCGGCCCTTGTCCTTAAACGGTTCAGCCTTGCTCAAGGAACCTCAATACATCGGATGGGAGACGATTTTCACCGCCTATGCCACCCTCGCGATCAGCCCAGAACGCCATTACAAGATAGGCGCACGGGTGACCCACTTATGCGCGCCTCATAAGTTGCAACAACATTGCAACCACCATAGGATTCCGACAGCGTGGGTGTAACCAACCCAGGACCCGTGGACAACAGAATACCCGAAACATGTAAACCCCCAGCATGCCCTAAGACCCGACCTGCCAATTAGTTATAACTAGTATAGTAATAATAATAAGCAGAATTACTAATAATTACTATTGTTATAATTATAATATATACGTAGTAATAATGGTAATAAAAATGGCAATAATAAAGAAATAGTAATAATACTTATGATAACAATCGTAAAAAATAGCAATAACGCAATAACAATAGTAAAAATAATAATAGTAGTAGTCGTAGTCGTAGTCGTAGTCGTAGTCGTAGTCGTAGTCGTAGTCGTAGTCGTAGTCGTAGTCGTAGTCGTAGTCGTAGTCGTAGTAGTAGTAGTAGTAGTAGTAGTAGTAGTAGTAGTAGTAGTAGTAGTAGTAGTAGTAGTAGTAGTAGTAGTAGTAGTAGTAGTAGTAGTAGTAGTAGTAGTAGTAGTAGTAGTAGTAGTAGTAGTAGTAGTAGTAGTAGTAGTAGTAGTAGCAGCAGCAGCAGTAGTAGTAGTAGTAGCAGCAGCAGCAGCAGTTGTTGTTGTTGTTGTTGTTGTTGTTGTTGTTGTTGTTGTTGTTGTTGTTGTTGTTGTTGTAGAAAACCTAAGCAGGCCTAAACGCAATACGTCTCAGACCAAGACACGTGCATTCGTGTCCACTCTGAGGCTGATGAGGAGTGACAAAACATCCTTGGAGTGTAGGTGATGCAGGAGCAATGTTGGGGCGACTTAAAGGACGACATGAGGTGTGCATATATATATATACACATATATATATATATAAATATACATATGTATACTATATATATATATATTATTAATATTGTATATCCATATACATATACATATATATATATATATATATATAATACATATTGTGCTGAATTGATGTATATATCTATATACATACCTAATACCAGTATATTTGGGCTGTTCCCACCCTCGGGTCCATACCCTGATCCGCCCCAAGCAGAGAACAGACAGACCCAGCACCACAAGCCAAAATAAGTCCCCCTCAACCCCAAACCCTAAACCCTGAAACCCAAACCTGCTCCCCTGCTCTTTCACAACGACAGTAGGGCTTGCCAGAAGACCCGTGATGTTTCCGGGGCTTATTGAACCATCCAAAGAAATATTTGCTTTTTCAAATACAGAACCCAAGAAAAAAGGCCTCGAACCCCAAACCCTTTCCGGCTGAAATTTATTAGGCCCACGTAGTCCCAACACGCCATACCGTCACCTTGTGTTGAAGGCTAAGCGACCACCCTAAAACCTAGACATCCCTACGCCCTAAACCCAACAGAAAGCTGACTGTAGTCTCAACCCTAAACCCTAAACCCTAAACCCTGAACCCTGAACCCTAAACCCTAGTCTCAACTCCAAGCATCCACGGCGCCGGCCCTGGCGGCCGACAGCATGGGCGTGTCTCCGATGCCATTGGTGAGGATCCTTGTGGTGGGCTGCCAAGGTTTCTCGGATGTACGGGGCCTTTATGTACCCTAAACCCTAAACCCTAAACCCTAAACCCTAAGGTTTATTACAGGGTAGGGTTCGTAAGGTTTGTGGCTTGTAGGGCTTTCTGGCAATTGCCTAGTTGACCACGCGCTCAGGGCAGCACCGCTGGCGAAAACGTTGGTCGTGCTTGTCAAGGTGAGCAGAAATGACATGAAATACGTTTCTCACACACAATCCCTTGCGCCAAAGTCCCCTTGTGGTTCCGGTTTAGGGCGTTAGGGTTTTTCAGGGATTTAGGGCACTGGGGATCAAAAGGGCGTGATACGAGCGCCTACACTCTCCAAAGAAGGATTTGGGATGGTGGCTGCTTGTCGAGTTGCCATAGGTTGTAGGTTCAAACATGGTCCACAGCTGTACCCATAAATTACAGGGCTGCCGGTCCGACAAAGGATCAAACAACATGAGCAACCGAAGGTTAAGGTTAAAGGTTTAGGGTTTAGGGTTTAGGGTTTAGGGTCTAGGGTCAGGGCTTAGGGTATAGTTTCTTATTGATCCCTTTTATTTGTTTTTGATCCGTCTTAATTTTCTTTTGACCCCTTCTTAATCCCCTAAATTGCACCCTATATTGAGGGACTTTATAACCTCCTAAAAAAGGCTTAGGGGTTGCACAAAGAAGAACGACTTGTCCGCGCTTCGCGGGCCCTAGAAAAGATGCCTCTTCATGCTTCAGAGTCAGATTTGCACGATGCTCGCACAACGCCCGCGCAACGTCCGGCTGGCCATTTTGAAGCGCCAGAAGCAGCGGAGTGTTCCCTCAGGGATGGGAAAAAAACAACACTCACGGGGCCTGGACGCTTGGTGCCGAAAACCCTAAACCTTAAACCCTAAACCCTAAACTTATAAGCGCCAAACCTTAAACCCTAAACCCTACAAACCTACAGCGGAACCTCAGGTCTCCTCCACCCAATCCACTCCAAGCCCTTCTGGAACTCTGCCCCAATCGAAGCCTGACCCCTGAGGTTGGGGTTTCAATCTCGGTTGGAATGGTGAGTACAATCCCTCTAGGCAACCCTAAAAGGGCCCCTTTTTAAGGGGTTAAAGGGTGCAATCGCCCATCCGGGTTTAGGGAATCCTAAACCCTAAACCCTTAACCCTAAACCCTAAACCCGAAACCCTAAACCCTAAACCCGAAACCCTAAACCCTAAAGACCCCGAGTTCTGAAAGAGGCCTTCGATGTTGCAGACCTCAGACGCCGAGCTAGGCTGCTGCAGGGCTTCAGGGGCGGCTTCTGCTTAAATCCTAAACCCTAAACCCTAAACCCTAAACCCTAAACCCTAAACCCTAAACCCTAAACCCCTCGACCCGTGCTCGGGAGCTAGGGCTTGGGGAGATGTGAAAGGCAAAGAGGCGTCTTGGTTTTAAAAACACTGAAAAATTCTGAAAAACCTTGAAGAACCTTGAAAAACTTGAAATCCTGAAACCGGTGAAGGCTCGGTTTTGATCAAAAATCCAGAAAACCAGAACCCACGAAACGTGTGTCATTTCCTGTGGCCGTTTAAAGTCCCTTGACCAAGTTTGGGGCCTGTTGAAGAGGGGTTTAGGGTTTCGGGTTTGGGGTTTAGGGCTAGGGGGTGCAGCTCAGAGGCATCTGGGTCTGCACGAAGCTGCAGCAGAGCGATGAGGATGCTTGCTCGCCCAAGGCTCGAGGCAAGCAGTACCTCTTATCTTGACTGCTTGGTGGGGTGAAGGATTCTTTCTCATGATGCCCAGAACCAGTGCCCCAAACTCTGAACCCTTATATGCATTTTGTTATTTGTTTACAAGCATTGTTTTAAAGCTATGTTCTGCTCAGGGCCAACGGCAACAAAAGAACAAAAAACAGAAGGGTCCCTTCTTGTAACAAAGGGCTGCTGGTAGGGACCCTGCCCCTAAGAAATTTAGTTGCTGAGTTCATAACCCCCAAGAAGGTGTACACTTTCAGTTCTTCAGGGGATTATAGTATCCCAAAAGCTGCAATGTGTACTCAGCTACTAAGGAAAGGAACCCAACCTACTGCAGATCGAGGCACTGCAGTGTTGAGGTCGGCGCGATACTGAAATAGCAGCTGGACCATACTGGGCTCATTCTTCCGCACAGCCAGCAGAAGAGGTGTGTCCTAAGGGTTTAGACTTTACTTGGAGGTTCATGGTACTTACTAACTAATTAGAACTGTACTTATAACTGTACTTACAGCCCTTTTCGGGCACTTAAGGGGCTTACAAGTGGGTTACAAGTCCAGTTATAATTGGTTAATAAGTACCATGAACCTGCAAGTAGGGTTCAGGGTTTCACCAGCTTTCAGCCTCCAATTGCTAGGTCGGCCCCTTTCAGCAATCCCGCAGAAACGATTCCCAAGAAAAATGCTTGTCAGAAGCCCGGCGAAGGAAAAGGAAACAAAGTCATCCGCAGAAGAGGAGCTGGAAAACCCGGACTTTGGTACAAGTGTCTGGGATTACCCTGCCGGAAGCGTGCTCTCGGGGGTGCAAGGGGGCTTCAATAGATTCTATAGACGGCTTCTGGAGGACTCACTGCCCTTTGTATACTCTCGGGGCCTTAATCAATAGAATAGGGTTTTGGGGGCTTATTCTAGTATAATTATATGGGGACCAGAAGGGAATACTATCGGTATTTGCTCCGGACCCTATATTACAAGCCCTCAGCCCAAGAATCCTAAACCCTGAACCCTAAACCCAAGAATCTTGAACCCTAAACCGTAAACCCTAAACCTTAAACCCAAACCCTTTTCACAACTCTAAACCCTAAACCCTTTGCACACAAGCCCTCAGCCCAAGAAGCCCGGCTGCGCAGCCGAATGTTGACATCCGCTCGCTTGGCCAGCAGCATGTGCATGATGTCCATCTGGCCCTCGCTGTAAGCAAGTAGAGCCGGTGTGTCGCCTGCGCACTCTCGACACCCAAACCCGAAAGCCTAAACCCTCTAAACCCTCTAAACCCTAAACCCTAAAGCTCAACCCTAAACCATCAATCTAGGAGCTAAGCGCCCCTCAACCATGCAAGGCCCCAACACGGCGCCGAAGTCTAGCCTCGCTGTAGCAGAGGGCTCCATGGCCCCAACTCCTCTCTCTCTCTCTCTCTCTCCTTCCCCTGCCTCTCTTCCTCTCTTTCTCTCGTCCTTTCTTTCTCTCTTGTCTCTCTGCCCCTCTTTCTCTCTTTCTCTCTGTCTCTCCCCTTGCAAACATAAAGACAATCTTTCGCACGTTTGCGATGGTCGTTCCTGCTGTATCCACGTTTTGTTTTCTCTGTGTGCCGCGTTCTCGGCAACTCCTTGGCTGGCGCAAAAGCCGCATCGTGGTCACACATGATGTAGGCTTTGTATTTCTTGTATCCCACAAAGGAGACCCAATATATACACTCACCAATTTCAAAAAGGAACTGTATATACACTCACCAATAACAGTAATGTAAACCCTACTTCACATGAGGATTTGCAAAGGGCAACCAATGACACCCCTCTTGCTAAACTCTCAACCTCTCTCTCTTTTTTGTTTGCTCTGTGCCTGTCTCTCTCTCTCTGCCTCTCCCTCTCTCTCTCTTCCTCTCTCCCTGCCGCTCAGTCTCGCTCTCATGCTGGATGGCCTGTGCTCTTGTTCGGCTTGCTGACATCTGCGTGGCTTTCGCAGAGCTTGAGGGCCTTAAAATGCTCAGGCATCACAGCCTTCCAGGCAGACACAAGTCTCACTAAACCCTGCGACAACACTTACATGTCCATAAATTCCTACATACATGCATTGCACACACACACACACACCTCCCTACAAAACCCTAAAAACCCTTAGCCCATGACCAGGATGGGCTATTATACCCTATAATCCATTAAAAGGCCCTTAATAGGGTTCACTATGGGGATTTTTATGGCCAAATAGCCCATCCTGGGAGGCTGTGCGACTCAGGGGCGATCTCCCGATGTTTGTTCCGGATTGCCAGGAGCAGGGATGAGTCGCCCCGCGGGTCGTGGGCATTGACATCAACTTGCCGCTCCATAAGCCTCGATGTCTATCACTTAATCCCTGTTCCCCTAGGAAGAAAAAGGGACCCTCTTTTTGTTTATATATATATAAGAAAGCCCATAACCCAAAAAGTAACAAGGATCCCTAACACTGATTTAGTATAGGGGCTTTGGTTTCTACAGGGTTTTTTGCTTAGGGGGTGCAGAGGGTTAGGAGGGATTATGGGACTGCAAGATTCTACAAAATCAATACGACACGTAGAGTTTAGGGTGGGGCAAGCACTGGGCTTTCCAAACGGCTATGCTCGGAACCATTCAAGTCTTCCACCGTTTCCAAACCCTAGACCCTAAACCCTAAACCTAAACCCTAAACCCTAAAACCTAAGCCTTAAACCTTAAACCCTATATAAACCCTCAAGCGCGTCGAGGAAGCAGTAGGGTCACAGCGCAGATGCGACTGCACCTCGTTGCCGCCAGGAGGGCAGTTTCTCCGGCCTAGGAGCAACGAGGCTTCGGGTTACTTGCTGTTGGTTAGCAGGGAATGGGGGGGATGAGGTACCCTATAAAATCCTTTAAAGCGTATATGTGGGGGGGGATAAACCAACAGTAAGGTTTACGGTCTAGGGGTGCGCTTGCTGCTCTATCCCGAAACCCTAAACCCTAAGCCCTAAACACTCATGCCTCAACCCTAAACCCTAAAATGCCGGATGTTTCTTCGCACGCGTCAGGATACACGAGTCGATGTTAAACTCTGGGCGCTGATCGGCACCCTCTCAGCTTTGAGATATGCGGGTTTCCAGCACAGTGTATATGTATATACAAAAGAATATGTATAAACGTACACATATACATATGAGAATGAGAACATGTATATACGTATGTATGTGTAGGTATACTGTATGCACACATAATAGTAAACAAGTAAATAAATTCATAAATAAAAACAAGAAAAGAATGAATAAACTAAATAAATCAATTAACGAACAAAGAAATCATGACATACATATATATATATATATGTATGTATGCACATTCTATATCATTTAGTTATATATTAACTTAATTTATATACACACAACCCTAGAGTTTAGGATGCACATGGTGGTTTTCTGGAACAGCTTTAGCACTTCGTAAACCCTAAACCCAACCCTAAACCCTAAACCCTGAACCCTAAACCCTAAACCTAAACCCCAAACCCCAAACCCCAAACCCCAAACCCTAAACCCTAAACCCTAGCTCTAAACCCTAAACCGTAAACCTTGAACAAGCCTTGAACTTTCAGGCTTCCTGGGGCTGCCACAATGGGGGGTTGAGGCTTGTAGGGTTTAGGGTTCTAGCTTGGGATGTTGCCCCTTATACTAAGGTTTAGGGTTTAGGGTTTAGGGTTTAGGGTTTAGGGTTTAGGGAATAGGGATGCTAGTACCCCCCGTTAAGGACTGTGAGTATAAGGGGGAACATCCCACAGTTTAATTACGCTTCTTGGCCTCGTTTCGTGCGTTGACGTCGGTGCGCAGCTCCAGCAGCAAGCGCAAGCTGTCCAAGCGATCCACCTTCACTAAACCCTAAACTTATCAAAATTTAAAAGCAATGCTCTGTCGCATAGATTCTCAGATGGTTTTAGGGTGCGGTGCAGCGGTGTGGGTCGTCGGGTGCAGTGGTGCAGGTGGCGGGGTGCAGTGGTGCAGGTGGCGGGGTGCAGTGGTGCAGGTGGCGGGGTGCAGTGGTGCAGGTGGTGGGGTGCAGTGGTGCAGGTGGTGGGGTGCAGTGGTGCAGGTGGTGGGGTGCAGTGGTGCAGGTGGTGGGGTGCAGTGGTGCAGGTGGTGGGGTGCAGTGGTGCAGGTCGTGCAGGCGGTGGGGTGCAGTGAGGGCGGTGGGGCGCAGTAGAGTGGCAGGTCGTGGGTCGCGGTTGTGGTGTGGTATGGGTGGGTCGCGGTTCTGGTGTGGTATGGGTGGGTCGCGGGGTGGGGCTGGGAGGTGACGTGTTGGGTGCTGGTGGGCTAGAGTCTGTAGTAGTAGATCGGATTAAAGGCTTTGGTTCCGGGCCGGTTGTTGCGGCAAACACGGATGAACAAACTTCATTTGCGGATTTAATTTTGTCGCGCTGCTAGCAAACCATTGGCATTCTCGTCAGACTCAGTGTCACAGTGTCAATCAGTGTCAATGACACTGAGAAAAGTGAAACTCAACTTCGGGCCCAGTGGCTCGTGGCTGCAATGCTTACGTGGCCTGGCTTATGCTAGCATTACCAAGGCCCAAGGCTGCTAAGGGTTTAGAAGTTAGAAGGCTATGGCTATGGGCTATGGCTATGGCCAAAGCGGTTAAGGCTTCGGGCCCGAAGTGAAGAACCCCCCCCCCCCGGCCACCCGCCGAAAACAACTAACCCAGCGCGACGTCCCCCTCAGCGCTTCTGTCGAATGCCATTCATGGAGTGCCTGTCAGATGAAATGCATGACGGCTATTGAGGCTATTCAAACATCATGACATACAAACTGCAGGCGACTCTAAATGCCTTTGCAGCTCTCGTAGCTCTTCATCCTCGCTGTCGGTATTCCATCGGAGCGAAGACAGCAGCGATACGATGACTGCCATAACACAAGGAACTGCAAACCTAGGTTCGTTTCAGTTCACCCCTGCTGAATCATATTTCCGCAGCTGCACAGCGAATAACTCACAGCTCACTTCACTCACAACAAGATCAGGGAGCGCGTTGCCCGCTAGGTCAGCAGCCTGATTCTGTGAAATAGCCAAATCGGATGGCAAATCGTGCACGGGGAATCCCTGCAGGAATAGCAACTCCTCACCTCGGATTCGAGCGATGATGATCATCATAGTCATAATGATGATGATGATGATGATGATGATGATGATGATTCATGATTCAACGATGATGAATGATTCGGTTCGATGATGATGATGACGATGATTCGATGATGATGATTGGAAAATGATGATAATGATGATGATGACCATGATGATGATGATGATGATGATGATGATGATGATGATTGATGATGAACCATGAATAATGAATCATGAAATATCATGAATCATGAATCATGATGATGATGATGATGAATTATGATGATGTTTGATGATTGACGATGATGATGATGGTGATGATTCTGATGATTATTATTAGTATTACTTAGTGATGATGATGATGATGATGATGATGATGATGATTCGATTCTATTCGGTTCGATTCGATGATGATCAATGATGATGATGACCCATGATGAGTATCATTTCAAATTTCCATCATTATGATCCTGAATCCTGATGATTGGTGATGATGATTGATCATGATGACTCAGATTGATGATGATGCCTGACAAACCACTTATTACTACTGCGGAGAACACAGAGAGTCAGAGACCAAGCGACCAATCAGAAGGCGCCGTCTGCGTGTGCTCCAGAGTCGACTCCCCGGCAGTATTGTCGGAACAACCTGCTCTGTTCTGTTCATGGCCCACGCCCACCCCGTGGTGCAGTGGTGGGGGACGTGCAGTACTGATGTCCACGTAGGCGAAAGTTTTGGCATCGACATTTGCGTCGCCTTTGGCCTCTTGTCGTTTCCTCTCATTCCAGATCTCGACGAAGCAAACAGCCTGTCAAGCGTAGGCAATGATTGAAATGTGCGAGTTTGAGAGAGCACAATCAAATCAGAATCAACACCCGACCCAAACGCCGTTGCGCTAAGAAGTATTCTGTTCACTTGCACAGTGGCACAGGCACATACAATTGCCTCTTGCTCACGTGGAGTCAAAGTCTTGAACCACGCATTGTCAGACAGGTAGTCCGGCACCACAAGCGGCCATTTCACTCCATCTGAACCACAAATCAATCAAGCTGTCACAGTCCCACTGTCCCACAGTCCCACAGTGAATCCCACACAAACATGCGTGCGGAGATCTGCAACACAATTCGCAGGCGAAGGCTAAGGGACTTGCTCTGTTCAGCGAGGCTGCAATGAGCCCGGCGCCATTTCTCGCTCTGCTTCGACCCTGCCGCCGTAGCTGATGACTCTGATGTACACTGCTTTTCCTGAGCTGCTTTTGCTGCTGCTTTCTCACACTCGGTCTGTCGTCGCGCAAGCTCTTCATCCAAGATCTCACGGTCGACATCAAAAATCAATTCGTCCTCAGATGACTCAGATGACTCAGACTCAAACTCAGATATGCTTATTGGGGGTATCGCCAATCGCCGTGGGCATGCGGCAGTATTATATCTCTATCCTACCCTTGTGCTCTCCCTGTCTCTTTCCATATATTGTTATCTCTCTCTCTCTCTCTCTCTCTCTCTCTCTCTCTCTCTCTTTCTCACCCTTTCTTCAGACTCACACAGGATGATGACAAGCTGCCAAGTCAATCGTTTGAGGCACTTGCAACGCCTTTATCAGACACTTTCTTCAAGATGCTGCCCGTGTCTTCTGCCAAGGCCGAAGACGCTCGAAGCCCCACCAGGTAGAGCCGCACCCTTCGTTGTGGAATGCCATATTGGCTCGCCTTCAACCGCTCCACTAGAACATCGTACCCCAACTCTTTGAGATGACTGGTGACCAATTGAAGATTCGATTGCCTCAGGCGACATCGCATCAAGTCATATCAATGTCAAATTCCACCAACAGCACCGACACCGGAGTCTTATATAATTGGTCTGCTCTACATGTGCCCTGGCAAAAATGCAGATAGTTCACTCTTTTTCATCGTCTCCTGTAGCATTGCTATCCATCGTGTCGACATTCTCCAAAATGAATGCCATAGGTTCACATGTTTTCAGGATCGTACTCACACCCTTGAAGGTGTTGACCGATGAGCAGTCCTTGGACAAATTTAGGCAAAGGCGCAAAGGCGACAAAGAGACCTGACACACCGTATCGGCAACGATGCAAGTTTCTTGGGAAGTGAGGCAGCAATCATCAATAAATAATAAATATAAATAATCACGAAAATTCAATAAATTCGATAAGTCAACACGGCTTCTAAGGCAATCGACCACATCATCTGCCATCGCACGACGCAGCAATTCGCGATCATTGTTCATCTTGCTGAATGACCTGCAGTGCTGCAGGACGACAGTCGCTGTTTTGTGTGGATTCAGGGCGTTCAGGCATTCACGTGATCGCATCCAGGCAGCTTGCAACTGAACCCTGCACCGAACAACGATATCATGTGTTCATCACATTTCCGGGTGATAAATGATTCCGGCAGGGCCTGAGAACACAGTGCATCAATTATTCAGAAATCGTAACTAATAGGAATGCAACTGCAACTTTGACTAAAAACAAACGAAAGTGCGAATTCAGGAGCGCAAGCCGACTTATGCTTGACACATTTGCGCGTCTCATCATTATTCAGCTTGGTTATATCATCGAAGCAGCAAGTTGCCTGGAACAGCGAAGCTTGATCACTTGAGTCTTGCAGATGATATTTTGAATTCACTGTAATCGTTCACAACGCCTCATCAGCAGCCACCTGCTCAATCAGGAATTTTTGTTTCCATGGTGTGAGCTCGCAGACGAACTCGTGAGTCACCTCAGTCAGTCAGTCAGTCATAGTCAGCATCATCAGTGATCATGATTCAATTCAAGCGATGCACATTTCAAGACAAAAAAACTCAAGTGGTAAGTGGTTCATGCGGTAGCTCAGCTAGCTAAGATCTGACAAAGAGCATCAATGTCCCTACTCGGATCGCATGACAAGGCCAACTGCTCAGCGGCTGCACTCGCAGCCAATTCAAAGCATCCGCTGCCCGAGCAAGCGGACATCAACGACACGCTCGCCGGATGGGACTGGACATTCGGAGTGATCATGCGGCGAGTGAAGACGCCGAATAGCCTCTTAATCTGCGCCTGGCGACTGAGGCGACTGGCGACGCAATCATCTCCGTTTCCCCTAGCACTAGACATTGACTGAACTGAATAATGTTTTGCTTATCACAGCGACTGACCTTGGCCCACTCTGTGAAAGTCGGACAAGCCAGACCACAGTCGAACTCCTCGGGACTGCTGGGAACGTCCTGGCCCTGGCTACCAGTGTCCATAGCGTCATTGCCTTCGGCGCTGTCAGCATCGTCAGCGGCAACAGGCTGCTCCTCCGCGTCCTTGTTCTTGTTAGCAGCAGCAGCCGTCACGCCAGCGCCGGTAGCTGTGGCAGCGTCACTATTGCCAGCAGCTGTGGCAGCACCATTTCCTGAGGGCAGATGACTCGAACAAGAACAAACCTCAACTAAGCTTCACACTTCACACACACTGCACACTGCACACTTCACTTAACATTGTAGCTCACGCTGTCCTGCGTCAGAAGAACCATGACCACCGGAAGCACTGGCAACAAGAGTCGCATCCGCGTCAGCAGCATGTTGCTCAGAATCTGGTGCGCCCATCGCGCCCGCACCTGTCTCAGGCGCAGCAACGATGACAGTCTCAGCCGTTTCAGCATCACTGTCAAGCTGGAGTTCCAGCTCAGCAAGCATCTGCTGCTGCAGGTTCGGATCGTCGGGATCCATGTCTTGTGAGCCTTGTGGAGCATCTGAACCACCCAGCGGCAGCGGCGCTGCACCACTGAAGGCGGTGGACGCTGAAGCAGGCTCTGATTGCCCTTCGGCTTCGTCTGGCGTCTTTCTCTTGCGGCCACAGTAATTCTCCCAGAACTTAGCAGCCGCGGCGTTGACTTCGCCCGGCCTTGCTGGCAATGGCACAGGCGGTGTCACTGTGACCACCCGTTTGGGCAGGCCAGTAGCTTCATCAACTGTGACAACGGTCTCCCAGCTTCCCCGTGCGGCAAGCTGAAGTTCAGCAGGGGCAGGAGCACTCGGCTGCGGGGGCTCAGCCTTTTCCTTGGGCTGTGGCTTGGGTTTGCCCTTTGCTTTGCCTTTGGGGGTCACTGCCGCTTTCTTCGCCGGAGCTGGTTTGGGTTTCGCTGACCTCCCCATCTGACGGCCGGCGGAGAAACACTTACAGTATTACAACTCAAAATCAAAACATACTGTCATGGCAACTGGCAACAACTGAAATTCTAAAACCTTTGGTGTAGTGTCGTCGTTCAATTGCGTGATGTACGGTGATGTACGCATGCTGC